GCAATGGCATGAACACAGTCGATGCAGCATAGTCGGACAATTAGAATGAAAAAGTGGTGAACGTCTAAGAGGAAAAAAATCTAGTGAAAAATTAAAATCCATGCGAAGCAAATTGAGGGGAGAGTCAACAAGATGCCATACCACCCGTGATCTTCGTCTAAATGAGAAGTTTCGCCCCGAATGGATGGGTTGCAAGCATTCACAAGAGTCAAAAGACAAAATCATGGCGGCCATTTTGGTGCTGTTAATAAGATTTGTAAATGGCACCAACCCCCCCCCCCCCCCCCCCCCCTGAGAGGCCGCGATGACGTAAAGTGCAATATAAAAATGGATAGAAGCAAGCTGTAAATGTTTAAAGTGCAGCAAGCGCCATAATATGACCAATGAATCTGCCATCATTCTTACCTTGATTTGAAATTTTTGAAATTGAAGAAATGTTGCTTTTTTGTAAACTACCCTTCCAACAATAAAGGGCCGCAAGCACCTCCTCATATTTATAGACGGGATATTTGATAGCACCAAAATGGGCGTGGTTATGCTTTCCGCATTCTTCGTAAAAGAGTCTAAAAATAGGTAGATAGCCCAGGATGTGTTTAGCCTGATAACGAGGCTGTTAGTGACATGCATGCGGTGCCTTACTGGTATACATTTCTCTGAAAAAATATTTAGTTTCAAAACTTAATATCTTCGTCAGTTTTAGGGCAATCTTTACGAAACTTGAATTGCAGTTGTTATATTATCAATGTGAAAAATTTGATAGTTACCTCCTTTTCCAAGTCCAATCAAAAGGAATGCTTACTTGTTGACCTTCAAAACGAATGTTTTTGGAAATAATAAGGCGTTTTTTAGCATGTTTTTCTAAGTCAGGGACTAGGGGTGTTCGGTGGAACCTCTCTTTGTGAGATCTTGTGAAGGTCATTATGCTCAGTAGAATGAAATTGGAACCCCTTTTGCGAAGCCGATTGCGCTACTGTGTTTGTTTGCTCTGCTTTATCCAAATGGTAGAGAGAAAATTTGACATTCTATCTAGGAATTGTCGGCTTGATCCGATAGAGCTTTCCTTGTTGTTTCTGTCTTTGGTTTCTACGCACTGACTAAATTGTCAACGAGTACTTCATTACTTCATTCCATCACCTCCAAACACATGCTCTCCACTAAGATCAAATATAACAGTTTTATTTTGTTTGAACGCGAAACAGTACGCTAGGTATCGCTTTGCATTTGTAAGGATCGTGCGGATCAGGGAATCAAATAATACAGATTTTGGTTGATTTGAATGAGTCGGAGTTCCACTTAACCTATTAATCAAACTACTCTAGTACGGACACCCAAGAGGAAGAGTGTGTGTCCGTATTAGAGAGCTTCGTTTAATAGTAAATATGTTTATAGGCCGGAGTTAAAAAGGTTTGACCGGAAGACAAAAATTACTTTTGCTTTTTTTATTTTACCTTACTTTACAATTATTTACGTTACTATATGTCGTAATTTATAGCGACATTTTAAGATTAATATTAATCGTTACACTTTATATTACACTTACACTTTACACGTTACACTTTATCGTTACACTTTATGTTACACTTTACTTAGTCTATTTAAGGGCCTGATTCATGTCACTTGACTGGTCTACTGGGCCAAGATGTAGCCATGAGTCTTGATGCTCTTCTTTCCATTATCGGCGTCGCAATCCGCTGTGTTACCCGTGGATACCGATCCATCAGTGCCGCAGTTCGTCCCAGCACCACCGAACCCGATACGAGAATCTGGAGAGTTACAATCTTTTTGTTCATTATTTATGATTCCAATACGTACGCTTTGGGTAACATAATAAGAATTGAAGCCTTCTTTATTGCAGTTMAGCTGAAGAGAAGAGTCTGGGATGAGAGACTTCCATGCCTTACGTCCAAGCGAGGTGCTGYGGTAACGTCCGTCTGCGATCACAGAGTACAGCGAATTTGCCCTGCAGTAACATGCGCTATATATCAGTGATAAGTTCAGACTTGGTTCTCATTGCCCAAATTTCTTTTAGTCTTTGTCAGAAAACGAAAAATTCTTGAAAAGTGCAAGAGGGAACTAGATTTTTTGGGTTTTGTTTTCATCGTTTGGGCATTCAGTCAATTCATGATAACACGTTTATTCACAAAGAACACACGTTTTTTGTATCTTACCTGTATTTCAGGCGAATCCAGTTTGGTTCACTTGTGTTTCCACTGGTTTTCATTCCCAGACAGAGACCATTGAAGGGCATCGTCCAATAGGTAGGTAACTTGGTTTCTTGGTTATCCACACCTGATTGGCCTCCGGGCATGTTATATGGCTCTTTGTTCCTCCACAGGGCTGAGGTGTATACTTGAATGTGGACTAAATAAAGACAAATAGGTCACAAATAAAACATTAGTCATAAGTTGACCAGTGTATTATCAGTAATCATATACTTAGTTGTTTTTACATTGTGACCATCAGTCTTCATGATGGTAGTCCAGCCTCCTCCACCACATCCTTGGATGTACTTCATGTAACAGTACACCTTGGTAACGTATGGCTTGGTAATGATGTAGTAAACACCACTCTTGGCAAATCTAATAATACAATTGATATTGAAAATAACAAGGAAGATTCATGATATTTTATCTGAACTAAAACACTTGGAAAAGGGACGCTGGAAAAATTCTGCTATGCACAAGGAAAGGACAGAAAACCTGTTGAGCTGAAAAATGGAGGTACGGCTGCTGATTGTCCAATGCGCTTCCAGTAACCATCTACTTAGACAAATACAAGATTTAAATTCACTATCGGAAACTTGAACAATTTAGCTGAGGAACATTCCTAACGAGCCAGGAAATGATCAAT